GGGCCTTCACGGACACTCACTACATACTCTTTGCAAACAGAGTCAAGCTTGATCCACTTGGTAATAAAAGCTTGATTTACTTATGTTACAAGTCATTTTACACAAATATTAATACTTGTATTACAAGAAATTTGATATAAAAATATATTCCCAGGTTCCATGGCGGCTATGTGTGGGATGTCACCAATGGTATCAGCTCTATCCTTGAACCCAAGCAATGAGAGTTCTCCGATTTATCTCCTCCCAAGATTTCCCGATAAATCTATAGGAGATAGAGATTGGAGAGTTCCGGTCGAAGTGTCTTCTCAGTTATGGCTAATTCATACCGGAAACGCTTATGAGACTATAGAGGATAACGGCGATTTAAAGATTGAGATACAAGCTTCCGCTTGCTCCTACCATTGGTTCAATTTTCCGAAAATGTTTGGTAAGTTACCAAACAAAAGATATTTCATGACACCCGGTTATTCAATGTTTAGGATTTACGGTTTACTTAGTGGTTATAAAACTTTTTGTCTTTAATTTTTGTTTTTACAGGGTACAATTGGCAAAATAGCAAACTGGATCCATCTGTTATGAATCTAAATTGCGGCGACGACAAGCTACTGCCCCATCTAGTTAAGGTAACAAGTTTTTGGCAATCTGAATTATTCCTAAAATAAACTTCTTGTCTCAAGACCGTCTCGAACTAAATTTTATTCACCTAAAATGACCTAAAAATGAATAAACGTATAGGTATCTATGACATTGGACGCTATTGGAAACTGTAAGAGGTGTGACGTAGAGCCATTAAACGATTGGAACAAACCGTCAGATTTTCCGGTTATAAACTCATCTTGGTCCGGAAAAAAGAACAAGTATATGTATTGTGCAGCCTCTTCGGGAACTCGACGTGAACTTCCTCATTTCCCTTTTGACATGATCGTGAAATTTGACCTAGACTCAAATCTCGTACGTACTTGGTCTACCGGAGCTAGAAGATTCGTTGGTGAGCCCATGTTTGTCCCTAGAAGCTCCAAC